AGACCTCACCGGAGTGCGAAAGCGATGCAGAAGAAGCCTTACAAGAACGATCCTTCGAAGTATTAACCTTTTGTAGCTCTCGTAACTGAAATTGAAGACGCGAGTTAGACTCCCGTAGTGCTTCAAGGCGTTCCTGTACTACGGACTTTAGCGGCAGCAGGTGCCGGGAACGACGGTGCTGTCGCAGATTTGCCTCACTGAGAAACCTTTTTCCACACTCTGGACAGCTAAATGAAATTGATGATGATTTCTCTCTCTCTGCTCTGTCAGTCACAACCTGGCCCTCATACTGCTTGTAATGACTAGTGGAAAGGAAGCACATTCCCGTATGATTACTACAAAGCACATCTTTCCGTAAACGGAATACATGTTGTGAAGCGCGGGAGGCCCCACAACAGACCGGCCTACCCAAACAGTGCAGGTGCACCTGAATCATCCTATTCAAACGGCACATGCTTTATTAACAGGGTTTTTTTTTGTTCTACTTCACTCTTAAATTGTTAAAAAATAAAAATAAAAAAACAGGTATGTTCATATGATTTTTGTGTGTCAACGCCACCCAGCCCCCTTTATCATGGTTCTAAAATATCCCTATGAGCAAATATCTTATGCTTCCGTCGTGTATTCAGAGTGATAAGGGAATATTATTCTTAAATGGGACGCGTACAAAGACACAAAGAAAGATAGGTAAACATAAATGCAAACACATTTACTAGTTCAAAAGCATGAGTATGTCATTCTATTGATCCTTATCATTTACGATGTTCTCCGTCTGCAAGTCTAAATACACCGCAATATACCACTGATATGTGTTACAAGCACAACAAAGGTTTTGGCCTCATAAACAAAACGGTATCAATATGTGAATACGTAACACAGAAACCTCGTTTATGAAGGGCTAATATATATATTTTTTTTTAGATAAAAGACACGCGGCGGTGAACTGCGCCCAGCAATATATATAATCATTAATTAGGAGAAATCCTCTCAAGAGTTCTCAGCACTAAATCAAAAGGTATCATCCCTATAAAAGAAAAAAAATCTCAAACGACCAGTCAGCATTAAAGGTCAAAAAACAAAAATGTGATGTTTCTCATTTTTAACTCTGGTCTTCAGTTAAACAAAGTGAACTTCAGCTGGTACTGTGTTCGTTATCTGCTTTGTCCACAGGGTCATCAGGAGGCTGGTTTTTATTCCTGTACTTTATGGCATCAACAAAAAGCTTGCAGGTAACAACGAAAAGCACCACACGCACGACTTGTGAAAATGGGCACACCATATCTGTTGAATTAAGAAGGTCCTCAATATTCGCTCTGTTGCCTACCTCTGAACACCCACTCGAGAAAAAAAAAGAAGACAGAGAGAGAGAGAGAGAGAGAAGAAATAGAGGGAAAGAAAGAGGAAAAGAGATACATTTAGATAGGAGGTACTCATGTCATAGTCTATAGAAATTTTGTTCTTCACTGTGAAAAAATTTAAGATAGAAGCATATTTTTCACGTCGCCGCTTTTACAAGAGGCTCATAATATCCTTCTAACACATGCTGTAAATTAAATCTAAAAATGGTTTCTAGTACCCAAACACCCCTGTTGGATTTCTTCTTTGAAGCTATCTCTCTCTCTCTCTCTCTCTCTCTCTTATTCTATGAAAATAATAATAATAATATGACATCAAAAAAGTCAGACAGAGCTATGAATTCCGGCAAAGGATTATATAACATTAAGATCAACGTTCATCTTTCCTTCTTTGTCGTGCGAGAAACTTATCGCTTTTCCATATTTCTCGCATCTGTTGCCCTCTTCGAACGGGGTCCGAACGTTGTCGTAGAGTAGAACCGTCAGGACCCACAACATCACACAATGGCGCACCCCCACCACCACGGTATTTGTAACGACTATCACCAGTAAAACTGTAAATAGTATTTGCACTCCGTTGATTTAGTACAAGACGAGGAGTCGAGCGCAGTGGCATCTCAGGGGCAATTGAATGGTGAGGACGTCGTCCATTGCGCACAAGTACTTGTCTATTATATTCCCCATCATCAGTGTACCCAAGGTATTCATCATTCTCCTCCCACTCCTCAGCATCATCACCATCATCGTAGGTTAACCTACCTTCTCTCAGGAAATCTTCCCGGACATCATCATCGTGTCTATTCACATAAAACTCCTTTAGTCCTCTCTCGTAGCGCTTCAAATGTCGCTGTAGACGTGCTTGTGGATTCATATACTCTAGTGGCCTTGTATAAGACCCATATCCTCCAAGTTCTTCTACATCTATTGCTGTTGGAATTGTAACACCTACACCCTCTCTTATCATTCCTCTGCTACCACGAGAAACGTGACGCAGTGATCCTGGGTCAAAATGACATCTACCCTGTCGCTGTGTTGTCCCCTTGTTCTTCGGGCGTCCCTCTACCACAACACTACCACCAAAATGGTAAGGTTCCTGTTGATGATACTCCCAAGTCTTCTGATTCCCCACTGCATATGCCCGTCGAGGCTGGCGTCCTGTTCCGGTCGAATTCATGGGAGTTGTTCGCCCTCCACGTATAGAACGTGAGGACAATCCTGGCCATTGATTTAGCGAAGGAGAAGATGGTCCTTGATCACATTTCTCACGGGGCATAGGCGTCTCCTCATCGTCCTGTGGGGCTATTGTTACATCATTAACTTTATTCGGTGGGGAAGCAGATTCCTGTTGAGAATTTTCTTTCTGTCTTCCTGAAGGTGTTGGTTGCGTCTGCAGTTGCGGTGATGATGATGCTGATTGCAAATTATCACGGTAAGCAGCCTCTCTGGCATGCTGCAACGTTAGAGCAATATCCTCCTCAGATGGATTGCGGTATCCAAGGCACTGTAATGCATGTCTTACCTCTTCAGCTAAGGCAGCATCGACTGTGTCGGTCATCTAGAAACGGTGGACGCGGTTTCTCTTCACGGAGAAGGAAATTTAAACCTTTCGTGTCTCCGCAACTCAAAAGGTTTAATTTTTTTTTCTCTCGGCGTTGTGAGTTTTTTTTTTTTTTTCCTATGACAATACGTTGCACTAGCTCCTATGTCTACGCCAATCCTTCTCCCGCAATGAAGTAAAGAAAAAAAAAAAAGGGAAACACAGACAGAACAAAAGAATGATAGTGTTACGACAGAGAAATAGCGAAGCAACGAGAAAATACGTCTGGTAAAAAAAAAAAAAAAACAAGCAAGAAAACAAACAAAGAGGATGGGATAAAGGGAAGTGCAGGGTGTCAGTTGGCAGTGCGCAGAGTGCTGCGACGAAAGTAGGTATCACAATGATTCTTTTCTTCACTTAATTAGAACTAAAAGCAGACAGGCATACAAATCAAACACACAGGAAAAAAAAAAAACGAAAATAATTATGCCACTCTTTATTACTCTTTACCTTTTCTTTTTTCTCTCTCGTTGCATCATATATATATATATATATATATATATATATACCTCTGCATACATGTGTCTGTGTGATTGAGTGAGTGTATGTGCTTCCTACTTTTTGTTGTTATTCATCTTTAGCGCGATTTCATTATTGATCTTGTTGAGGCTGAAATAGAGAAACCGCGAGTTGGTGATCATTGCAGAGGAACATATCACAGCGAAACAAATACATGTACATTTATATATGTACTCATCCGTATGCGTTCTTTTCTCTCCTCTTGCATCCTTCCTATAACCGCCTCTGATCGTGCTGACTCAATCACTCCCTATTTTCTTGTTTTTTTTTAATCCTTTTACCTCGCTCTCTTTTCTCAAGAAGGGAGTTCCTCCTTTGTTTTTGCCTGTGCCTTGTGACATCCTTCAATCGGCCGTTTCGGCTGCTACCCTCCTCCTTTCTTCTTCCCGCATGTTCTGTGTGCGTTTACTTACATGTCTGCATCAGAAAAGAAAAGGTGCACAAAAACAATAACATAGATTGACTGTGGCAAGAACTGTGTCTTCCACAACCTTCTCATCACCAAGCACTTTCTCTGTTCTCTTTTTTTTTTTTTTTTAAGGTTACCTCATTGATCTCATATTCTTTTTTTTTTCTTTTCGTTTTATTTGACATCTCATTAAGTATTACTTTAAGTGTGATCACCCTTTATTTTTCCCCTCCTTCTCGCCGCCCATTGATCCTATTTTTTTTTTTTCTTTCTTTCCTCTGCGTGACACCGAAAAGGAAAAGCAGCGGCGGCAACAATCAACACAGCAAGTGGGTATTGCTGCTGATGTGTCACCGTCAACTTCTCACTCGGGAAGAGAAAGAAGATAGAAAAGAGCGAAAAAAAAAAGATGCACGAAACCCCCACCGCACATTGTGGTTATACCTTACACTTAAATACAAACATTAAAACGCATGGTTATTTCCTTTTTTTTTTTTTTTACTTCATCCTCCGTCTGGCAATTATATATTTACCCTCTTCGCCTGTAGCCTTTTTGTACGTATTAGTCAGTTTTTCGTGGTTCTCCAGTCTTTCTTGCTTGGTGAATATGCCTGCACATATGCAGATAGGGAAAAAAAGAAGAATTGAGCGACTTACGACGCAAAACCCCACTCTTCCATTCACCTCAAAAATAACGGATCTTACAGCATCAGGCTTTTCCTCTTTTCATTACGTTTACTGCATCTTATATCACACCTTTTTTTTTTTTACGGTTTTTTTTTTTCTGAGATATTTCTCATCCGCTTACCCTGAATTTGTAGGTACTGCTGATTTTTCTTAAGCTGAATTACAAACACGCACACAAACACACACACAGACGCTCACGGACACAGAGAGATTCTTTATCTTTTTTTCTCTCTCTCTCTCTCTCTCTCTCTCTCTCTCTCTCTCTCTCTCTCTCTCTCTTTCGCTTGCTGCCGCTGCCGGTATTTTCTGCAATGGGGAACGGCCGCAGTACACGCATGCAGTGGGAATGCAATCGGAGGAGGAGAAGCCAAACGCATCATATGGAAGACACCGAACACATCTCCTTTTTTTTTTTTCTTTTTTTATTTCTTATTTTTTAACTTTCATCTTTTTTTTTCCCATTTTTATTCCTTTGTATTGATTTTTTTTTTTTTTATTTGTTCCGTTTCTTCCTCTATTTTATCATCGTAGGAATCGTCCCTCGCAGTTCCTTCCCTCACTCACGCGTGTCTCATCTGGGGCTGTTTACTCGCCGAGGTATGCGGCGAAGTCCACCGGCAGCTCGTCAATCTGTGTGTGGTAGTGGGACTCAATCTCGCGCAGAACCTCCACGTCCTTCTGCGTGACAAAGTTGATGGCCACACCCTTACGTCCGTAACGACCACCACGTCCAATACGGTGGAGGTAGTTCTCCTTGTTCGTAGGCAAGTCAAAGTTGATCACAATGTTCACATGGTGTACATCAATACCGCGAGCCACGAGGTCGGTGGTGACTAACACGCGGGAACTCCCGTTGCGGAAGGTGCTCATGACCTTCTCACGTTCCTGTTTCGGCATCTCAGAGTGCATGTAGCTGACAGTGTGGTTGCTGCTGTTAAGTTGTGTGGCAAGCCAGTCAACCTTGCGACGGGTATTAGCAAAGATAACACTCTGCGCAATGCTTACTGTCTCGTAGAGATCCATAAGTGTATCGAGCTTGTGTTCCTCCTCCACGGCGATGAAAAATTGCTTGATACCCTCAAGGGTAAGGCTCTCGCGCTTCACGAGAATACGTGTGGGATCACGCATAAACTTCTTCGTCAGCTCCAAAACATCATCTGGCATGGTGGCAGAAAAGAGAGCAACTTGAATTTCCTTAGGTAAGTAGCGGAACACCTCATAAATCTGCTCTGCAAAACCCTGAGAGAGCATCTCATCGGCCTCATCAAGCACAAGAACACGTAACTGCTCTGTTCGCATAGCACCTCGCTTTGTCACGTCGACTACACGACCGGGCGTACCAACGGCCACAATGCTGCCAGCTTGGAGTTTGCGGTAATCCTCCTGCACACGCGTGCCACCAACAAAAGTTGCGCAAAACGATCTGTTTCCCTCAGCAAGGAATTCACCGATACGAGTAATGACCTCCGCCGTTTGCAGCGCAAGTTCTCGTGTGGGTGACAGCACAAGCCCCTGAAGGAAGTTGTGGCGGAAGTCAAGGCGTTGCAAAAGACCAATGGAGAAGGCACCTGTCTTTCCCGTACCGGACTGCGCTTGGGCAATGATGTCACCACCGCGGGTGAATGGAACAATGGCGCGCTGCTGAATGCTGCTGGGTTTCTCAAAACCGTGCGAGTAGATACCACGGAGAAGGTTCTGGTGCAGCGGCATGTCATCGAAGGACGGGATGGGGCGGATTCCAGGCTGGTCATCCAGAAAGGAGTCCTGGTCCTGCGGCTCGACTTTGCCTTGCTGGGCCATGTTCCTTTAAAAAAAAAAAAAAAAAGCTGGTTAAAAAGCGTACAAAAACTACACAACCAAATACACGGATTCAGAGAGAAAAACGAAAACAAAGAAGAAGAAGAGGAAGAGAAAGAGAAAGAAAGATCGTAGATAGAAGAAAACAAAAAAAAAAAAAGGTACAACAGGGAGGCGGAGCTCCAAGAAATTCTTCCTTCCATCATGATAAGATAACCAAACGTCCAAATGCACAAAAACCGATATATAACTTTATCTCTCAACTACTTCACATAGGTAGGAACACTTTTTACGAAGTATTTCTTCTTCTACTTCCTCGTCAAACAGTTCCCCACGAGGGAGTTCCCAAGAATGTGAAAAAAAACAATCAGTCTTGCAACAATGCGAACAACAATCACAATACTTTTCAGTCGGTCTGGAAGACAAAAGCACCATGCGGGAGGGTATGGCGAGGAAATCACATGGCACCGTTGTGCCTTCATATTTTCTGTGACTACTACAATCTTGCATATTAATGTGAACAAAGGCACCAATGACAGAATAATCCCCAATGCAGTTAGAAGCAGAGGAGTTTACTACTGCTTCTCTTGAACCCTCAATATGACAATGAGGTTCAAAGCAGTTTCCTTGACCAATGCAGCTGATATTTGCCACATGCGAGAAGGCCTTAAAGTGGTTATAGGAGCCTATGGACATCAACTGAGGAGGAGTTCCCTCTTGAACCAGTTCCTCTCCCTCATCATAATTTCCCGAACTGTTTATAATACACGCATGCTCTTCAATAATACAGTACGCGCCAAAATTAATCGGACCGCGCTGAGCAACAATAACAGCGAAAGGATGAACAACACATCCGATGGAAAACTTCACAGGATGTGAACCTCTCACAACTGCAAATGGGCTAATACACTCTTGCTGTTGTGTCTCGTTCATCAGAACCGCCTCAAGGATAATAATTCGTTCGGCAGTCCCCTTTCCAACTCTCTACGTTAGTAATGAGAGAAACAAGAAAGAGAGCCTGATATAGTCGGTACGAAGTGAGAGACCACTTACTGTTATGAAAACAGAATAAATGCAGTATTTGAAGGGAAGTCAAAAACGCACAAAAATACGAAAGGTGGAAAAAAAAAGAAAAAATATATCTTTTAAACCATCAACAGAAAAAAAAAAAAAACCATAAAAAGGACGATGAAGAACTGCCTCCATCTAGCCGCGCAGAGACTAGATGCAAGTGTTAGAACAGAGCACTGTATCTGAGTGACAAAGAGAAAGAAACAATGAAAATCATATCGTTGTGAGTTTTTCTTCCCCCTTTCCCTATCACTCAGTCAACGCACCTATTACAAAAAAAAAAAAAAAAAAAAAACAAGAAAAAGAGGTATCCACACAAATAGAAATAAGTCTACACGTTGTATAATATTTACCCATCATGTCAGCCACTATCGCTATCCCAGCGTCAGTTTTCGGGAATTAATGTTTTCTATTCTGCAGTGGTCAGCCATGTTTCTCTCAGCAATAATTGTGCGCCGTTGCGTTTCTCGGGGTCCCACTGCAAACACTTTTGCAGGAAATGCAGGAATGCTGTACCACTTTCAACCCCAATTCGTTCCTGAATTTCCTTCTGCAGATCTAACCATGCTGGAGTAATACTCTGACTGATGGAAGAGGTTGAAGCATCATGCCACTGTTGCCCTGAATTCTTCTCTGAAATTTCTTCATAAGAGTCTACCTGAAAATGAGAGTTCAAAACGTCGCTTTGGTCATTACTTTCATCGCTATCGTGACTATACAATTGTATTCTTTCATTTTCGGTAAGAAAAATAAAATGACCATTGGAATCAAAAAAATCCTTTATATATTCACCTATAGGGGTCCTTAAAATATAACCTGGACTAGGGGGTCCTAGAAGAAAAATAATGCTTCGTAAGTGAGATATATCTACATTCTTTTCATGTTCGCTAAAATGAAAGGGATTGAATGGTTCACTTTCACCAGTCTTTCCACTTATATTAGAAATGTTTATTTCAACATCACTTGTGGAAATGTCTTCCTGTTCTTTTTGATATGTTTTCTCCTTCTTGTATAGCTCCAAAGCTGCGGTAATGTCATTAACAGGGTCAAAGAGAAATCGACCGATGAGTAGCTCAAACGCCAAACATCCCAAGGACCAAATATCTATAGCAGTATTAAAGTCCTTACCAAGAATTATCTCTGGAGAACGGTATTCTCGTGACTGTAGTTTTGTCCCGCGCTGATACCTTTGTTGCATTAAGAGGTCTCTCTCAAGATCACTAACAGTACTCGCAACACAAACCGATGGAGTTCGTATTCTCGAGGAAAGAGATAATCGATGAAATATAGCTGGAGTTGAAACCGCTGCTGTGCTAAGGGATGTGTTACTTTCCTGCACAGTTTGTACAGAACAACTTCTACCAGTTTGCCTGTTCTCAATCTCAGAAGATCCTTCGTCCACAGAGGCCTTAATATCACCATATACAGCAGAATCATTATTCATAGTATCATAAGGACATCGCAGTTGTGGTGGAACAATGAGAGAAAGAGTAAAATCAGATAATTGCACAGTGTACGGTTTATCATTATATAGACCATGTAAGTGTTGTTTTTTAAACAACTGTCGTGCACTATACTGGGTATCTTGACCACGTGCAGTACGTGGAGTAACTACCATGTCTTTTAAAGGAGACTTCAACGATTGCATTGTGTTTTCACACCTTATATTTTCTGAGGAATCCTCTGTAACCAAACGGCGCCGCACCCCCAGAGAATCTAACCCAATTGGAAGGAGACCTTCAAAATGCTGAGAGAGGAACCTTTTCATATTCTCTGCAATATCTTCCTCTAATTCCATAAAGAGAAGATTATCAGGTCTAATGTCTCCATGAATAACATGTACCGCAGAGAGTAGCGCCAAATTTTGTAATGTTGAACGAATAATATTACGAGTTACATTTTCAGGAATACCCTGGAAACCCGTTTCGCTTATAACTGTATTTACAGAAGAGCCTACCAAATTCATTACAATACAGTGATGAAGACCAAATAATCCTGAATGGGTAAAGTGGGCCCTCATTGAAGTAATATGACCAAGAAAAGGTAATGGTGTCGTCTCTTCAATGTTACTCGAGTAATGACTTACTGATGAACGTCTGCCATCAGAATGCATAACAGGAGTCCCACAATCTGATGTGTTCTCCTGAGGTAATCCTAGTACTGACACCTCGCGCGACACACTAGTAGAAGGAGGAAGCGAAACTAACTGTTGCAGACGGTCTACCTTTTGAAACTCTTTGATGTAGGTTAGCATCATAAATTCATGCTCCGCATACCTCTGATGCGTTGCCCCACAACGGAAAATTTTTATGGCTACAAATAATGGTCGATCAAAGGAAGAGAAATACATACGTAATTGCTGGTCGTCTAATTCCCGTAAAAAATGATGACGTGTCATTGAGCATTGATCCAAATCAACTGCAAGCCAAACACGACTATTGTGACCACATCCCAACTGTTGTAGTAACAAATATCTATTATGCAAAACATCTCCTGGAACACAGGCAAGATGACCGTCCTCTCCAAAGTTTTCTTCACTCTTTACTTCTTCCTCTTCTTCTTCCTCCACTTCCTCATATTCTTCATCTTCTTCTGCATCCCCCTTATCTTTATTGTAGATTGTACCAGTAAATGTAGAATTTACCGGACGGCGATGCCTACTAGTGCATATTGGACGTGCTGTTTCATTAGCTACCGGTAGTATATCATTCTCGTCTTCTTCTTCATCTTCGAGAGACCTACTGCTGTCCCTTTCAACCCGACGATGTTGACACGCACCCATGCCTCTGTTTGCAACTGCAGTCGCCACCTGCAAATCCCATCGGTGTAAAATTGATGAAAATCCCCTAATGGGCGGAACGGTTACTAGTTCGGATTTTTCCCTCTCATGTGGAACCTTTCGTGATGAGAGCACAGTTCCATCAGGCGCATCCAGATTTGGATTGTTCCCTCCATCATACTCCGCAGAAGGTCTGCTAGAATCACTGGGTCCAAATCCCTCAAAAAGTGTCTGATTAGACTTTCTTCCTCCGCTGCCGTACATACGCGCCACACTCTCCTCTCGTGTTTGTCGAACATGCATTATGAGTGGCTCCAGTGCACAAAATAGTCCCAAGCCGCCGCTGATGCAAGCAGAGGGAGTGCGCCACGCCCCCAACCACCCGTTATCATACTGAAATGAGCCTTGAGTAGCCATTCTGTTGTGTGTGTGTCTGTCTGTCTGTATGTTTTTCTTTTTGTTTATTTGTATGGGAAGCCAGAAAAATATACCTACAGATTTCACCGGTTTCTATTATCTTAGAAATAGAAAAAGGTAGAGGAAAACCAGAATTGTCATGATGCTACTTTTCTCCTTCCCTACCCAGAAAAGAGATTAAAAAAAAAGACTACAGATATTGTTTCCATCATATTTAACATTTTTTTTTTCTTATTATTCTTCTTCTTCCTCCTCCTCTTTGACCTGGGCGAAGAAAACGATACAATGTGCATACACGCAGCTTCACGGTATATATATATATATATATATATATATATATATGTATTTTGTTTCGCAGACTCTTATGTACAGAAAACTGCATCCGATACGCTATCGTCATTCCAATCAAGTATTAACAGTACTTGATCTGTTTTTTTTTTTTTTTTTTTTTATCACTCCATATTCCAATATCTACTTTGACTGTTGGTCGAAATGTTGTTTTTTTTTTTGTTGTTGTTTTTAACTGACTTCTCTTCACTTTACATGTCCTTTTTGATGCTGCTTCTCCAACGGGGACATCCCCCACTGCAGGCGCAACGCGTTTGCAGGGTCTTCAGTACGTGGAGGGGTTCCGTGTGCATAGAGCAAATATTTTATTGGCCGTGTTTTGGTTAGCATCTCTATTGATTCATGTACTGCACCTAGGTCACCATGCTGTTTCACATGGAGCCACTTAAACTGGGGAACAACATCAACTCGTTTATAGTCTCCACCCTTCATAAATTTAAACCAAACACGACACATCCACGAGTTTACAGGGTCTAGATCACTGTATTCTCCGTGAAATAAGTCAGTGCATGCTAGAGCTTCACTACTATGATCGTATAAAATGTACTCGTTTGTCTGATCATCTCCGGCTATTCGCAACAGTTCAATATTGGGAGTAATTTGTCGTTGCTCTACTGTTCCTAGAGCTTCGAGACGTGGAGAACATCGCAACTCATCATCTGCGTTATGTCTTACATTCACAGGTAACTGATGAGAGTACAAACTGCAGATATTTTCGCTGTCATACACCGCTGGTGTGGCACCATCCTCACTATTAACTAATTCATCTTCGTCCACCTCTGGAAAGGAAAGACCTGTGACACCGTTTCCCATATCAATACAACCACCTGCACGATGCACTTTCACTTGATTCTGTAAATGTTGTTGTTCTTGTTGATGTTTCTGTGTGTTGGTATGGCGACCCGCATCACCGCTGCAAAGAATGCAAGCGTCAGGGAAAGCCTCTGCCCATATGCGAACACTTCCCCAACCTTGTCGAGTTGGTACAACAATAGTCTTTACCACTCGTTCTTCGTCATTTAATTTTCGTATGGTGGCATCGAACGTCTTTGGGTCTGTATCTATAGGATTGTATAAAACAGTATGAGCTCCATCCCGTTCAACAAAACGATGTGGTTTCTCAGAAGTTATTTGTTGATCATTAGCAAGATGACTCTGACGTGTAAAGGGTCGCAGGGAAGATTCAGCAGAAGAAATACCACTACTAACGCTCTGATTGTTATTGCGACGATTTGAAGCTGTCTTTTGCCATCGAAGGCGCAGCAGACGCTCTTGCCATTCCTTCTCGCTTTCACCATTCCTTCGATTTCTCTCCATCAACTCAGTGGCATCTTCCTCTTCGCTTGTAAGGGTAAGCATTTTGCCTCTAGCCATAACACTATAGTCGGTAACAAAGACCATAGTGTTATCTAATTTACTACTATCGTCTTTCATAAAATGAAGTCCTTTTATCATTTTCATTAGACTCTGGCATTCTTCCGTGAGGTGTAACTGCGGTGAGGGCTGTGACGGGTTACTCTGTTTTTCTATGAAGTACGGATGACTATATACGTCAGCGGCAAGTTTCCCGCGGAAAAGCAACGTCAGTGCGGCAAGACCTTGTGGAAACGATAAACATCCACGGACCAAAAACACATTGGGACTGTGAACATCAGTGATGAGGGCGTAGTTCCTGCGCAGTTGGTCCTGCATCATGTAAGCAGCTTTTGACATCATCTTTACAGACTGTAAAAAAAAAAAATAAAAAGTTTTTTTTTTATTTTTTTGACCTGCCAAAAGTATTCACTTTCTCTCTTTATTTTTTTCTTTTCTTTTTGGAAGCTGTGTGACTCAAACACAAACACACACGCACACTTAAACACTCAGTATAGTCTCAATTTATATTCTTTTGTAATAGTTTTGATGTCTATTCTTCTCCTGGTAACAACTCCTACACATCATATAGGATCAAAAGAAAAAAATAAATAAATAAAAAAAAAGAAGAAAAACCCCCCAAATGACATTCACTACACATGTAAATATTATACACACATGTATGATATATACCAAAAACATATTAAACAAACAAAAAAAAGAAGGAATAAATAAATAATAATAACAATAACTATTATTATAATAAAAAAGGTCAGTGCATATTTATGTGTAAAAAAAAAAAAAAAAAAACAATAACTAAAGGTGGCAATTCAGCACATTTCTATGAGTAGATTAGGTCTATGGATCTCTGCTTGGTGATGATGGTAGTGGTGGTTAATGTTATGGTTGTGTTTATCTGTGTGTTTATCTCATCAAGATAGCCCCTTCCTCTCCCTACCAGCTAAATTGACGGTGAAACTTCAACTTCATATAGTGCCACCAGAAAAACCCACATGGAGTACACCTCGCTCGTGTAGCCCTTTACATAAACACCAACTGCAAAGCTAACAGCACTTGTTCCAACCTCATGCACAGAGGTCTCAAACACTTGCTGTAAGATATGTTGATAACCTGGATCATTGGGCCGATAGGCAGCATTAACGGGACTTCCCATCAATCGAAACATTGGACCATTAAGGGAAACGTGGTCCCCAATCTTATCACGAGGATTAGTCTCACGTCCTTGTTCTCGTTTACGATACCGTCGTAAGTCTAGCAAAACTTCATGACCAAAGTATTCATTAAGAACCTCTGTAGCTCGTATTGTCACGGCATCTTGGCGTACACTAGCATACTTGCTGCGTTCATCCTCTGCTTCCTTTAGAAGACTCTGAAGAACTAAAGCAAGCCCGTGATGAAACGCAGGCTGTCGATTATTACGCCACGTGATAAGAGCACGACGAACGGCTTTGCGCAGTTGTTGCTCAATATCTTTCTCTTTTTCTGGATCTGGCATAGCAAAAGTCAAAGTTTCCCGTTGTAATGCAGCGATAAACGGTAGACAAGCCTTTATATCTTTCTTCTCATGATCAAAACACGGTAACCAAAATCGATGGTCGTTTAAGTTCCAATCCATTCGATGTGGTGCCCCACTCAGTTGAATATTTGCCCATAATTGATCATGTGAAACCACCATGTGAACATCACGAAAAAATATAATGTGTGGATCATGCACAGGACACACCATTCCTGTACGTGGGTCAATAAGTCGTAACTCCCCATTGAATGAATGTAATACCATTACAACACGTTCATGTACAGTACCTCTTCCTGTTACTATATAAGTTACTTCATTTGGCGCAAGAAAACGCAGGAAATGTGCTAATAAAAGAGAAAGTTCTTCATAATCTCCTTCTCGTGTTCGTAGTAGTTCAGCATTTGTACTCCAGACATCTTTATCTCCCCAAGTAAGGGTATCAATCCGAAATAATAACAACGATATAAAACGTATAGCCTCTTCTACTGTTTTTACGGTTAAAGGCGGAGGACCACCACCAGGAAGGAGGTAACGACAAACAAAGGTTAAGTCACCTGTAGTACAAAATACAAAGGGTTCAATTTCACGCTTCTCTACAATAGGATTAACAGATGATAAATCCCTCACTCTTTTTAACGCATCTCGTCTCCATTTTAAAGCTATACTGTGCAAATGTTGCAGTTGTGCGGAAACGTTAAGTTGTGTTACAAGTCTAGAAATAGTTGTCGTATCAAGTTCCTTACTTGTGTCACGACGGAGAGGAGGCCAGAGAGCTATGTACAATTGAATGGATGGGAAAGAACGATGTAATTCACTACCCTCCATGTGAAGTGGATTTATTCTTGTACTTATATCTACAGAATCTGGGTAATACCCAAGAAGCCACCGAGGTGTTGAGAGTGGATACAAACCTTCCATGCGAGCTTGCTCCGCTTCATATAATGAGAAGAATGGAACACGAAGTGTGCCAAGCAGTCGTCGTTCAGTTCTGTAGTGAGTTTCATGAGAAATTGTTCCTGTTGCTACAGCTGTTGGAGCCATTGGAATCTCCACCTTGTCATAAACTGATATTACAATATCGTCTTCAATTAATGAAAGTGTATCATCATCAAAGTCTGGTGGGCAAAAAGGAATATTAAGAGTTTCAAACCATGAGGGTGATGTCCCAACTTCACTACGTGAATGAACAGTATCATAAACAAAACTGACTTCAACAAAAGGTTCTAATGGAGTTTCATCTGAACGCTTAGGAAGTGCCATAGCTTTCATAATATGTACAACTATTCGAGAATCATTTTCTGAGAGAAGAGTTCCACGATCAATCTCACCAGTCTTTGGACGTTCCTCTCGTCTGGGATTTAATTGACTTTCTGGTTTCAAAGGAACAAATTTAAATGGTCTTATTTTTGGTAATATAACGTATCGTTCTAGTAATTCATGATCTTCAAGTTTTCGAGTAGAAATACGATGAATTTTTAGATGACGTAACCATTCTTGCCAAAGTTGTAACTTTCTCTTCTGTGGAAGTGGACTAAGAGAGAGTGTGAGTGTTAAGTTTGTACCTTTAGCATCAGGAAATAAAGGATCATATCCTGTTTCATGTGCTACTTTATGTTTTCCACGTGTGGCCGCATACAATATTTCATTTTGCAGTTCATGACACTCCGCGTCCTCCAATGGGATTGGAAGAGAAAAAAGACGAGTCTCTAATATATCTTTCGGTGTTGCTCGTCCAATCTGACATAACCATCGTCGGTGGAGTATTTCTAATCGCTCACTTTCAAATTGACGTTCTGAAGGATATATGCCTTCATCGTTAATGATTTTTTCCTTCTCTATTCGTTCAGACACTCTTGCGACAGCAGACGCTGATTGTATGGAAAAGACATCTGTTTTTACAGATTCCGTCATTCTGCGCCCTCTTACTTCCATGTAGTGCGATTTAAGAATCTTAAGTAGTGGAGTAAATTGTGGATCCATGGGATCAGCATCGCCGCGAAGAAAGAGGTCTTCAATTTCTTCTACAGTCATTCCTTCAATCGCCGTCCAAGTTGTTGAGAGAGAAATTATTCCAGGCAGTTCAGCTCCTTCACGTTTACCGTAGGTGTGTCCACGATGTGTAAAGGAGATGGGCGGTTGAAGTGGTAGTAATAAGTATGCGCGGGTAAAGGAAGGTAAAATATGAACAGTAGCAACCACATCTTCACTACCATTTCCAACTGATACAATATGAAGTAGAATCTCTTGAGGTTCCTGCATGGTGTTTAACTCAAAAGTTTCATTAAAGAAAAGTATCTTCGTAGTACTAAGTACACGTGTAGTAGTAGATCCAACAAATTGTGGAGGCAGAACTCCATTTGTTCGTGCAAATACAAGAACTTTAAATCGTTGAGACTTATTTATTACCTCTTTCATTGGTAATGAAGATGATCCATTCATACCTTCTTCAAATTGTTCTTCTTCATTATGTTGTTCGTCCAGAAGAGAATCTGATGATGTACCAATTAAACCTTCAATGACTGGATCATATTCCAACAAATCATTACCTTTATCATGTGTTGTTACTCCGGCACCGGCTCCAGTAGTACGGTGTCGCAAAGACATTCGAAATCCTTTCCTTGATGATGATTGTAATTCGGAACCAGAAGTTAATAAGGAGAAACTCCTACTAGCCGCTGGGGCTGTGCTTTGACGCGAACCAATTAAACCCTCCATATCACTCTTAGATAGTGGTAAAGAAGAAGAACAAAAATTGGTGTCATTTTCCTCACTTTCCCGTGCACCTGAACGGTTCAAAGGAAGAAACTCTTCATTCATATTTTCACCACGCATTTGTACAATTTGCTGCCAAGTCGATATCATAGATTTAAGGTAAAAATGTTCTAATTCACATGTAAGTTGATAGAGTCGAGAAAGTTTAGTTATCAAATGTTTCTGTTCTTCTGTAGGGTGCGGCTGTTGGTATAAGTTATCTAACTGCTCCTTGTAAAAGAGTCTACTCTTTAACTGTGGTAGAAGGTTTAATTCTATCATACGGTATGGTTCATAATTATCTAAAATGGTTGAGATGAGTTTTTCCTCTCGAGTAAAGGAGACCAAAGGATTGGTATCTCGTCCACCATGTGTTACTGTTAATGAGAAAGTACCAGAATTAATTCCGCCCCAAGATGAAGATTGTCCAAAGAAAGAAGGTGGAGTAGCATCCATTCCTGTCACTCTACTATGATGATGATGATGATATTGTTGTTTTGGTTGTTGCATAGCAGGGACAATAGGACGAAAACGAATGTAGTCAATGTGAATAACAAAAGAATGGTACCGTTGTGAAATACGCATCGCTTCTTTCATTGGAATTGTATTTAGGTGAGGTGGCAACAACTCTTTGGAGTCAAATGTTGGACGAACATCCTCTTCTACAATGTACTCAAGATGAATTCGTGGAGTTTGTGTACGAAATCCTTCACATATTTCTTGAGCTCTTTCTTTATGTAGATTTATCGGTGAGGCAAAAAGGTCAGAAATAATAGTTTTCTTCATTATTGACCTATGTAGATATAGTAGTAATGGAGGTAATAAAGAACGCTGTACACCACTAGAACCACTTTCATCCGTAACACCCAAAAGTTCCAGTTTTTTTCTTGCCGTATCATCACCCATAATTTCAAGTAGATGATTTAATTTAGATGATAGACTTTCAGAGAGTTGGTGAGTCATACGTTTTCCCGTACCGATAAAAAGCCATTGAGGTGTATTCATATCTGTCATGGTTCCATTATCGCCACTACCATCAATATTACTACTACTACTACTACTACTACCAATAGCATTAGACTCAGTACCTGTTTGTTGTTCCCTTTCTTTCTTCTCAATAGACATAGCAGATGGTTGGCAAAATGAACCATCCTTACCTTCGGTGACATCTCGCTCAAGTGATTGTGAAGCTTGAACATCAGCCGTTAACTGATTAATAGCGGCATGGATAGGAACACATCCTCTTTTACTGCTCTTGTGTGTACTATTTAATAACAATCGCAGATCCGTGAATCGACGAAACCACCTAGGGGGTGCTGCTCTCTCGATTTTACTAATATTCTGAAAAGGTGGTTCTGCAGTTTCCTTCTCATGCTTTTCTACAACTTTTTGGAGTAAAACATCGGAAGGTTCAAAATCATCATCCGGTGTTTCCATGTACATCTTCTGGTACTTCATTTCCTCCTTGTCCTTTACCACTTCTGCTATCCTCACATTTCCATGGGGACGAGTAGAGAATGGATGTTTTTTCATTGCAGACGGCGGTGCCTCCGTCACGTGGGGCTGCAGCATCGACAACTGATTGACAAAACTCACACCCGATGAGAGTTGTTGGCCACTTATGGTGAGAGATAAAGAGGCGCCATGAGGGCGGCTAGACGTCGTTGGGGTTTCGTCTTCCTTGCTGACATTGCGGGGGATATCTGTTGACATGTCGAGCAGTCACCACCTTTTTTTCTTTTTTTTCTTTTTCTTTCACCAGCTCTAACGCTATATATATATATATATATATATATATATATATATATATATAATGTGTATATGTATATGTAGTTCTTGTTGGGGTAAGTGAAGCGAGAGAGAGAGAGAGAGAGAGGGAGTGAGGTTGTAAAGTAACCCTTCCCCTTTCTTCACGCCCCTTAAGTACACGTCTGGGCGGAGTCTCGTCTCTCCGTGTTGCGAACGCCAAAAAGAAGAAAAAATAAAATAAGAGGTAAAAATAAAAAAAAATAATAATAATAAAAGGAGAGAAAGAAAAATAAAATAAATAAAAACAAACATCATATGACAGAGATACGTAACTGTTTAGTTAAAAAAAAACCCCAAGCATACAAACACACACACACATAGAGAGAGAGAGAGAGAGAGAGAGAGAGAAAGTAAGTGATAGAGTCAGACTCAAGGAAATTTGAGAATCAATCTTCCCTTTTCCTTCTCTTTCTCTTCACTTCATTTCCTCCACATCATTCAAAAAAAAGGTCGTCTGCTGTAATTTCGTTTGATGCTCCTCCATCTCGCTCCGCAGAGGGAACTACTACCTCTGCTGTTGTCAGTGAAGTCTTATTAACAGATTCTTTGCTTTCATCCTTGTTCAATGCATTCTCCTGTGTTCCTTGTCGTCTCAGCTTTACCTCGTTAAGTGTTGCTCTGTGTTTCTGGAGGCGCTCCAAAAAGTCAGCATCCACCCTATCTCCGTAGTAGTGATGTAGACAACGCAGCACAGCGTCCATCTGCAGAGGCTGCAACTCCTCCACTCGAGTCCAAAGTGCATTCAACACAGCGGGAAGGAAGCGCTGATGCGGAGCGAGTGGTAATGGTGTGGAAACAACATCAGAAGAAGCAGAACCAGCACTAGTTATCTGATCATCATGTTTATTAGAAGAAGAAGAAAAAATAGTGCTGTCGACTACTACTTCTTCATTATCTTCCTTCCCTCCAGATATGTTTACCCCAATTTTTTCCGTCATTTCAACAGAATTCTTTGGTGGAGGAAAATGGAAACACAATGCCATGAGCACATCTACCAATAGAGATATAGGTAAGGATGCACAGCATTGACGTGTTAGGCGGGCTGCAGAAGCCGTGGCCACAGATGTGTCTTGTATCCCACACTCACACAGTGCAATGAGTATCTCGGCAAAGAGATAACGTGGGACATGTGAAATGGAAACTTTTACTTTTGGGCTCCATTCCGCACGTTGTGCCTGTAGAGTCTTCACATCAGCGGAAGTAGTGACATCTTCGTACATTTCCAGAAATAAATCACGGCAAGTATCGTAAACGGCATGAAGGATCGCATGGTTTACTCCATTACGCAACCATAATGCACTACTACTACTACTACTACTATTACTATTATTACTATTAGTAGTACTTGTTAACCCTTCCTTAGATGTAGCGGCCACACTAAAGCATGTAAGTAGTGCTAACATAAGATGCAGAACATCTATTGGGTAGAGGTCTCTTACAAGAGGTCGTGTGCGAAGAAGTGCCCATGGCATAAAGGTATTCACAACGGCAGCATCACCCGTATGCACAAGTGTGGTTACAAAAACTGCAAGTGCACTTGGTGTTAAACCAGAGAGCACATCATCCATCCACACAGCCGATTGTTGTCCTTCTTGTTCTTCTTCTTGTTGTTGTGAAGCTTCTACCCTATCGGATGATTCCTCCGCACTGATCACCGTGATCCTCTGATAAATAGTCCAGAGTTGATGCAGTAAAACGGAAAAAATTGGACGATCTCTTACATCTAAGGATGCAAACCCATTAAAAGCGGAAATGACATCTTGGACCTGAAGAGATGCCGCAGCTTCTTCCATTATGCGAGACCGCAATTGTTCCCAAACATCACTAAACACACTTCCCTTACTGTGTGGACGCCGCGTAAACTCATCCGCGGCACTCTGGAATGCAGGAAGCAGCAACTCCCACGGTGCGTGCCGTACATTCGAAAGGAGAACACGACAAATGCGAGAGTACATGAATGGAAAAAAGACATCGGCCCGCTGCAACGCCATGCTGAGAGGCGCAATAGATTCCAAGGGAACATTCTCCCGCAAAAGCAATTTACCAGCCTGTGAAGTAATAGCCTGTTTTGCAAGTGCACAATTACGACTGTAATTATCATCAGATAATATATTTAAAAGTATGGCAACATGATCCACATCCAACTGACGTGCAACATCTACAGCTGTGAAACGAGAAAACCATCGTTGCACAGATACGGGATCTACCGCAGTGGGAATTTGTGAGGTCACTGCCGCAATTCCCTTAGCCAACCATGGAACCTCAATAGCAGAAGAAATAGAAGTAAAATGAAGAATAATACGCTCTTGAGAACTACGTGGTAATTGCGCTAATGGAGATACACACATACCGGCAACAAATGCACGTAATCCTAGTTTCGTACCATGACGACGAAATACTGCAAGGGCACAATTTACCTCATTTAAGGGAATAATAGTATTATTTGTTGGTTTCTCTTTAGTCATGTCAGGTTCTTCATGAAATGGCGATAACATTAAAGCAGCCGACAACAATGCAAGATTTGCAACCTTAACATTATTTAATGCTTCTTTTTCGCTAAGAAGACGACGTGCCAAACGAGCATGAAGTGGATGATATGGAAGATGTGAATTACGATGTATAAGTGCGTTACACACATGTATTAATTCTGTCAATGGAAGTTGGTCAACTTCCTGTTCTAATACCGTCGCCGCTAATAAGTATACCTTATCCCAATTCACAGAGTTCACCATAGCAAGTGCGCAAACAAATTCAGAAAGAGAACCATCACCCAATGTAAGCATAGCAGGTGCCCGTTCCATAATCGCTTCTAAAAGAATTAAATAATCTTCTTCTGCACCAGTTACTGAAGTAGCATGTGAAGAGTAAGAAGAAAAGGATTTTGAATTAACAGACCCTTGTCCTCCATTACCAATAATACGCAGTAACTCGGCACATCTTCTTAACGTCATTTGAGGTATATGCGGCATCCACAGTTCTGTTAACTGCACCACAGCACTACCCGAAACCGCATACCGGGAATAACACTTGGTCAGTTCAAGTAACAACGTCTCGTCTAGTGTACGAGTTCGCAATACAGGAATGATGGCAGGAAGTAAAATTGTATGGACTAGACGATGCAATTGGAAGTGATTCACTACTTGCATTCTTCCTAATAAACAAGCAAAGGCAAGAGCGCTATCACCGTCAAATGGCAGTGTCTCTGTATTCACAGCGGATGCAACAAAACGGGTTGAAAGAAGATGATTGACAGCCACATGTTGTGGAGATGCAGAAGTATTATACCGCCGCAGCAACTGTGTTCCTATAGGGCCAATGATATCATCTGAGAGAGCTCCACAATGTTCCATTCGCAGCAGCACCTGCACAAGCGCAATTGGTGAGAGGAGATCATGAATATCACGAGTGCGTAGTGCGAGGGCACGTCTTGCGGCTTTTAACTCTACCATGACAGGCAATGAAGATGATGATAATGATGATGATGATGATGATGATAATGATAATGATGATTCGGTCAACGAAGACATCTTGGACTCACCACCATCATCATCACCAGCAGCATTATTATTACTATTATTATTATTATCATGAATGCTAGAACTACTCTTATCACTTTCATTAGTAGATCTAATAGGAGCAGATGGTCTGCATTTATTTTGAATAATCTTTTGCGCAAATGTGTAGTGTAAAGGAAGAGTATTCCAAAGTGCCATTACGAGAGAAACAGGGAAAACGCGCTCCACACGCAGTCCTGTGGATCTTGAAATACTATCAACAACGTTAAGTACTTCTGTGAGAGTATGACACGCTTGTGATAGTGATTCTGTTGATACACTAGTCGTCTCAGGAGCTCTTAACAGCAGCGGTAAAGAAGTTGATAGAAAGCGGTGAAACTCTTCCACTCGCGTCTGCACTAGTTCCTCAAGTTCGCTGTGACCTTTGGCAGCATTAGTCATAGTAGAAAGATCAGGGACGTCAATACTTGTATCTGTTCCCTCAGTTACAAGAGAAATTTGATTTTCAACTATACTATTTATTTGAATGGGAGGTTTCTCTTCTTGCCCTTGACGAGTCATAGCATCATCCTCAGGCAGAAGTGAAGAGAGTCCTGGCAGCTGCACTTCTATACCATTTCCAAGAGGAAAGGAAACCGTAGAAGTGGTAACATTATTATTTTTTCTTCTTGAGATGTTGGATCTTCTCTCATTTCTCACATTACAACTAACCGTCTCTTCTGAAATTGTCGCTGATGTCGCCACTGTACATTGTGAATGCCGCAGCGCTGGGGAAATGACGGCGGGAACAGAAACAGAAACAGTCGCCAGTCGACCCCCAACACGCAGTTGTGATGTAAACCCACGCATTCACCGGCAGACGCTTCTCTCTTCCTCCCACTACTCTTTTTCTCCCTTTTCTTTCTGTGCTACAATGTAAAAGTGAAAGAAAAAAAAAAAAAGAGAAGAAAGAAAAGAAAAACAAAGAAAATATTTTTTTTTATTCTTCGTTTTTTGATCAGAGAAATCCACCCACACAAACATGAACAACAGTTGTTGTTGTTTTTTTTTTCTTTTTTTTCTTGTTGTTGTAAACTAGAATTATTCATTCATCAAAAGAGTCTCTACACATCCCATATGCTGAACTCTCTATCGTCTTGAATGTAAGAAAGGAAACTAAGAAATATTCAATTACCCTTTCCCCATTATCATTGCCAGTTTACCACCAAACAGTCAAACAACAACAACAAAAAAAAAAACTCATGCTGGAGGAAGACATCTAGTCATCAGAGCTTCAGCAACGATGAAAATGTCCATACCACTACATTCAACTATAAATGCAGATGTATTTCCATCACACCATTGTATAAAGCTATCAGCATATCCTGATGCAGCGAATATCTCTTCAATGGTATTACCATACAAAGGTATTTTCAACGGGTTGTTTGATTTGTAAATGAGATAGACTTCATTGCCCTTTTCAAAACGTACACGCAGAGTCACATCCATTTTTTCTGAAGCGTGAATACCATTCATTTCTTCTCCTACAACAGGAAATCCAATTTGCTCTTCAATAGCGACCAGTACATCATGTGGTCTCATTTCTGAAGTAAGCAAAAGCAAAGGCCGCGGGGCACAAACAGGGCATGCCGGATTAGCAGAGAGACTTGTTACATATGATGTCAATCCTCCAGATTCTGCTGCCCCATTAAAGTATGAAAAACAATTCACAGAAGGTGCAACACCTGTTAACAGCTTAAAAAGTTCAAGTACTGCTTGTGAACCTACAAATGCATTGGTAAATCCAACAGCTGGTACAACATTTTTAACAACACCTATTGTAAATTGTTCGTTAATATCTGGGCCTGTAATACCAAAGGCCTCTTTGCGTTGTTGTGCTTTTAAACAAATCCACCTAATATGTTCCATGTTATTCGTATCAAGTGCTTCACCTGGCCTCATCTCTTCCCATAGTCTAAATTGCACATAGAGAACACAGTGTTCTGGTGAACGTGGGACATTTTCAAGAGTACACAGAGGAACCCTCTTTTGCTGTGGATAAAGTTCAAGCATACACTCTATGCATGGAGTAGATTGCTCACCTAGTAAAATAATACGGCAAGAAGCCTCATACCCTTCGGTACCGGTATCAATAATGGGAATGGCACTAGTAATGCGCTTCTCTCGGCGTCTCTTAGGGTATTTCCCCTCATCTTGGGAAACCTCAACAATCTCCCAAAGAGCTATATCAGCAATTTTCTGATTCATCCATCTTCGAGCCGATACAGAATCTAATGCTAAAATAATCGCATGAAACTGTCTATAAAAATCTTCACTTTGGTCTTCAACGCGAGCAAACAGGGCACGCACCCGTACACCTGGGCAACGTCCTTCAATAAAAGCAGCGGCCACCTCCGCCTTGCTACGACCAATGTCTGTCTCACGAAAGAGAAACTGTCTGTTAAGATTAGAAAGCTCAATGGTGTCCATATCAATCACAGTGATATCCGTAAACCCACTAAGTGCTAACGCGTGTAGGACTTCACAACCGATGCCACCTGCACCCACCAGCAACACACGCACTTCGTCCCACGTGTTGTTTTCAGGATTATAGCCAGTCACTGGAAAAGCCGGAGGGGAACGTTGTACCAGCGACTGTAGTCCACGCTCTTTCATTGAAAAAAGGCTCCGCAAAGTAACTTCTGACATATCGCCCTATTAAAAATGAGAAACTTCTTTTTCTTGTTTTTATTTTTTGATTTTCTTTATAGGAACTCTGTTATGAGTTCCACGAAGCGGCTCTCACTCTTGGAAAGAGCCTGATGAATCAGAGATTCCACACACACATACGCATATATATAAAGAAATTTTATATAAAGGAAAGGAAAGGAAAGTAGATTTGTAATATTAAAACTCACACTCCAGGGCGATACAACAATGTGAAGAAGAAACATGGGCAATGACACACACATTCTCACGCTCTGTTTCTCTTGTTATCAATTGGATCATTGCAAACAACAACAACAACAAAAAAAAAAACAATAAGCAACATGGAGGGTAGACGACAATGGAGCAGGAAAGAAGAAAAAGGAAGCATACAAAGGACAAGATTAGGACCAAAGAGAATCTTTGCAACCTTTCTTCTCAATATAACAAACAATAAGATATCATACTAAAAACAAAACATTCAACCACAAGCACAGACACACAAAAAAACACTCGCACACAGGTATTGGATTTGGAATACAAGAAGAATAAGGGTAGTGAATTACCATACTCCAAAAATCACTCACCACTTCAACTCAAAGTGGGAAAAACACCTGGAAAAGAGAATGTCACTCATGCGTATCCAAATAAAAAAAAAAAAAAAACAATGTCCGGAGTTCACACGAGATACATTCTGTCATACAAATATATATATATATATATATACACATATATATATATACCACCAAGCAATACCACTCCATTGATATTGAATCTACAATCTTCCTTTTCTTTTCTTTTCCTTTACCCTCATTCTTTCGTTTTTCATTCGATCTTCTTATAAGCAAATATACAGATACATCTATTTTTCTTCCTCTTCCCAATTTAACTATATCACACCCATTTTGATTGTGAGGTTGTACATTCAGACCACGTGGAACTTTCGTCCCTTTCAAAGCGGTGAAAACCAGGATCATGCTTTGTTCCCCGGTGTGTAGTTGGGTGGCGTCGCTGTGGACGGTGTCGATGAGAGTAACTTCCACTCCTGTTCGTATGCCGTCGATTCATATCTGCCATAAAGTACAGATACGCCTCCTGTGCTAACAACCCACCACCGTAATTACCGTAAAAGGCTTCCGTTAACTGTTTGTAATGCAGTGTAGGCCCTGGAAAAGGCGGTACACCACCTTCTTCTCGCCAGCCCACAGTTTTGCGTCCGGGTGTAGTTCGCCGGCGCGGTGCCATTCGGCCTTGTGCGATCTTCGGCAGTGCGCGCTCGGACTGCCACACCACCGGCTCAGTGCTCCGCCGCGGGTACATACCACCACTGCCAGTGGGAGTGCTAGAGCGAACACTGCCAACAGCACCACACCGCGGTGGTACCCTCTTTCGTATGAGGCCTTGTTGTGCATCTGTTGGCACTAATGCAAGATCACTGCTATTATTGGGATCTGGATGACACGCCAGCAGCAACGGTGGTTCCTCTGTCAGTGTAGACAGTTTTAGTTCAGCACCAGATGAACTCCGTTTTTGCGGCATGATAGTCGGTACAGCAGCATTAGTTGAACAAACACCCACTGTGTATTGTGAAGCACTACGATTATTATCCATACGATGATAATCATGACCTCCAACTACCGCCGCATCCGACATGAGAGAAGATGATGTTAAACGACGCAGACGTCTTACCTGCTCTAACTGTTGTGCTGTGTTCACCACAGCCTGGGCGATTTCCCCATCGTACTCTACACGGCCGTTCCGTGATTTGCTCAAAGGATCGTATGTTGTGATAGTTGTATCGAATGGACCGCCGTCTAGTGAGTTTCCCCGCGTTGCCACTATTCCTGTTCCCCTGCGACTGTGCCGCGGGTGCAACAGCGGGGCGGGTGCAACATCACTGTATTGAATTTGTTTATTCGCATTGTGATAACTGCTGCTACTGCTACTGCACTCACTGCGGCGGAGAGGCCGCCCAGGCACAGACACACTGCATCGGTCACCCTCGGATGATATCATCGACAAGGATGACACGCGTGGGCCATGTTTCATAGTACAGGCACCAAATGAGAACACGACAGTGTGCACTCTCTAGAAGAAAAGGAAATCGTGGAGGACGTTCGGCGTTTGTCTAACTTTTGTTGTTGTTTTTCCCTATCTATTTTCTCTAACGAACCGCCCACCTTCTTCCTTTTCGCTTCTTTACCTGTACAGAAAGAAAAGAAAAAAAAAGAAAAGAAAGAAAAAAAAAAATTATCAAACGGGGAGGGCAATAGTACAAGGGAGAGAGCTCAAGGGTAGAAAAACAAAAAAGAAACATGGTGAAAGAGAAAAGTGTGATTATCAGTTTTTTTTTTTTTCTAATTTGCTTCTATGTTTTCTAGGTCAAAGAAAAAAAGACCAGCGCAACACCATCCAACAAACTATAATGTTTCTCCTTTTCGCGTCGCCCGTTACATGTGACTGAAAAAAGTCACGCAACCAAGATAGTGGGAATATAAATGGAATGAAAAATGGGGAAAAAACAATATAATTAAGGAAACAATATTCTGTATTTAGAATGAAAAGTACAAAAAATGTATCTGTTGAAGAAAACAATATTATGAATCAAAGAAGTGAAATAAAAAAAAAAAAAAATGAAAAAGCAACATAAACATTTAAAAGGAAAAAAAAAAAGGATTTGGCGATCCCATATTTAAGAAGAATTCTGTCTGTGAAAGCAAGTTCTGCCGGTGCATCGCAATTGATCGAAGCAATAACGTCTTCATTTCACTGTGCGACGCGACTATTCAAAAAAAAAAGAATGAAAGAAAGGAAATACCAAGCAAAACGGCAGAGAAAACAAGAAAAGCAACAGCAATACGAGATTAAAATCACATTTGCTTAAGAACGGCAGGGAAAAACAAAAGAAGATAATAAGAAAAAAAAAAAGTAGCAAAGGCATACACTGTTACACCTAGAAAAGACGAAAATCCAGGCTTTCCAACAATATCCCTTGGGAACTTTGTCGGGGATTTGTAGAAAGCAAGTGTATTAGATTCCCATCATGCCAACCACTTGTGGAGGGTATTCTTTGTAATATAGAAGATATTTTATCACCCCATGTGCATTTAGCGGATGCAGAAACTCCCCTTTCTGTAGAGAATTCAAGCTGCAGTTGCATAAGTAGGCGGCGAGCAGAAACCAGTAACTCACTCTCTACATCATGCAGAGGGTTCGTCTGAGGAGGCAATGGTAATGACAGTGTGGCACCTGTTGTCTCTGCCTCATCACGACGCGGTGTTTTCTTCTTGTGGGAGCTGTCAAGCAAAACTGCAATATACAGCAAGAGCTCAACAAAGCGAAGACAATTAGACAAACATGGATATATAGGTGATACACCAGGGGAATCGTGTAGTTTACCTCCCTCAATTTCACTCTCCACGACCCCATATTCTTGTTCTCGTTGTTGTACCGGTGGAGTAGGAGTGAAGAGTGAACGCCACATAGGGGCAATGGCACTGTTGTTTGCAGCAACGGATTGCAATATCTGATGCAACTCAGTTCCCAAACGTACAGCAGCAGCAGCAGACTTTTCGAGATCCTTTGAAAGAATAACATTATCCTGGTTCAAAAGTAGTAACACCTCAAACACTGCAAGTTCAAGATGAAATAAAGCAGTCCCAGCAGTCCACCTGAGTTCTTCCAATATTCTGAATGCATTATAAAAGGACTCGGATGATCGTTGGTTTAAGTGATTCAAGACGGCGTCACGCAAAGAAGCGCGTAGTGTTTCAGCTCTTCTTATTGTCTCACGAGAGGCCACTTCTGGGAACGGTCTCATAGCAGGAAGCGTTCGCGGAGATGCCGATAAAACATTTTCACTTCCCTCAATACCACTGACTCTACGTGAAGGATCCCTTTGCTGTCCTTTTCGTCCTTTCACTGTTGAAACAATTTGAAGCGTGTATGGTCCACTTTCATCATCCCCTCCAGAGCCTCTCTCTTCACCTTCTTCACCTTCGCTTGAACTGTCATCTTTATGCTCAATATTACTTCTGACAGAGACTTTTCCACGCTTCTCTTGAGTGGTCGGCGTAGGGAAAAATCGCTTAGGGAAGGGTGCAAAGGGTGGCAAGGGCACCGTCTCTCTCGCAGATGGAATTACCATTGTTGGTGTTGTTGTTGTTGTTGTTGTTGTTGTTGTTGGTACGGCCATTGGTGTGGTGGTGGGAATTCCCAAGCGGCGCATTTCAACTTCATTGAGACCAAACGTACACGGCCTGCCGCTGCCGAAATCACGATCAGTAATAAAACCACCACGAATGGCATCACGACTTGGGGCCACGGCGAGTGTAAAGTTCCCTGCAACGCGGCATCCGTGGAGTGCAATCATTCGGGCCGCCCCCTCCTCATCTGCGTATTCTGCAAAACAAACGTAAAATGTACGCTCGGGGTGTGCCGTAGTGCGTGGCCGAACCAAACGGACTTTGTTCACTTCACCACAAGACCACAGCAACGCGCGTATGGCAGAAAACGTCATCGTAACTGGTATGAATTTCACATGAACAGTGCGACGACGGCGTAATTCCTCTGATGCGGCATCCTCCGTCGTTGATGGAGAGAGAACGGCATCTTTACCCGCCAAGGTTGTCATTGTGGGATCAATACGATGGGTTCTTTCTTCCATACCATAACCCTTATCATCACCAGGAGCCTCAGGCCAGTTAAGTGGACCACTGTCACCGCGAAATGTAATGCCGGTGGTAACATCTGAAAAGGGAATAGCTGAAGTTAGAGATGAAACCGTCGTCAAGGTAGGATCTCTGCTCTCCGAATAAAGTGTACCACTTTTTGATGTTTGTGGAGATGGAACGGCGGTTCCACCTCCAACGCTCATAGGACTCTTTTCCTCCTCTTCATTTCTTGTACTTGCAATACCACTCTTAGCACTGTCTCCCCTGTGGGTGAGGGATACAACTTCAGTAATTTCTTCCATGGTACTTTCCAAAGGGTATTGTGTTCTCCCCTCAGGTATTGCCGTTGATACGGAGAGTTCTGAAGATTTTGCGATGGTAGAAACATCAAAAGTAGCATCAATATGTGTCTCTTTTTCTTCAATAGGAAGTACCTCTCGTACAGACCTTCTTATAGGAGACATTCCTTGTCTCACTGATAATGGCAACCTTTCTTCTATGGATAATTTCTGCTGGGTAACACCCACAATTGCTCCAGGAAGAAGATGCAAGTCACAGCAACGTGTGTCGAGAGAGTAATTTGTAAATGTTATCATCTGATTGCTGACAAATAAAACCACTTGATCTGGTGAGAGCCCCATAGCGCTGTGAATGAAGGAATAGACGTCTCGTAGTTTGGCTCCTTCAATCCATTGCATGTGATGCATTACATAAACGCAAGAGGTTGATATGTGTAGAAAACAAACACTTTTACCGTCAAATAATCGACATGCTGAATAGCGGTGTCCATCTTCTCCACATAGGAGACATGATGAACAAGACTCAGATAGATAACGGTGCCAATCCTCTATACTCGTAACATCCATTTTCTTTTCAACTCGACATACTTCCTGTGGGACATCCTCTTCTCTCTTTTCTGTTGAAAGGATGTTGCGACACATGACATCTTGCCCTGATTTATCAGAAGTAGGAATTAATGAACCAGCAACAATGCTTTTTGTGCTGGCGAAAGGACCACTAGGGAAGAACGGTAATGTTGGGGGTGGTACATCCAAGTAACTCCCACGATCGGTCCCATACGGCGGCTGTTGGGTCATATACAAGTTAGGAAAACTGCTGAAATAATTCCGCTTGGCATCTATCCAAGCATGCTGCCCTGGTGAAGGAAATGGACTCCCTGTTCCTTGACCATGCGAAAAAAGAGAATATCCAGCAATTGGCCTTACTGAAGGTGGAACTGGGCCAAGTCCCATGTAAGGACTTGACATAGCAGGAGGAGGGAACGGGTAGAAAGGAGGAAAGACTGTGGTTGGCATTGTCATTGGAGTTACGACCCTGGGAATCCACACAGGTGCTTGTGGATTCAGTTGCTCCTGCTGTTGTGTCTGGAGTTGTTGTTGCGGATTTAGCTGCTGGTGTTGTTGTTGTTGTTGTTGTTGCTTTTGCGGCTGCTGCTGCTGTTGTTGTTGTTGTGCCATAGGCATGTGTCGATTGCAAAATTGACTGTGGAATAAAACAAACAAATAACAGGATGAGAAATGGAGAATTTATACGAATAGCAGCACAATCTATGATGTAGATTACATTTCTCGCAAGTTGGTGATTATGCAGAGGTTAAAAAACAGATGTTATGCAGGCAAAAAAAATAAAAAAGAAAGGCAGAAGGGTTTTCGTTGAACCCTTAAATATCAACAAAAAAGAATATATATATATATATATATATTGTATCTATATGCACAAAAAGAGAAGAAAATAAAATGAATACCCTAGCCTTACTCCCTCTTTAAAGAAATAAAACACAAGAGAAAAATATTTTGTTTCCATGATTGTTCAAACAAGTTTTGATGCATTATTTACATATCTCTATCAAATCTTTTCCCGATG